AAAAAAAAAAAAACAAAAAAAAAAAAAAAAAAAAAAAAAAAAAATTCAAAGCCATTCATACCCACCCATAAGGCTGCCACATTACACACAGTAAAATTTGTATTAAATATAATAAGACAAAATACTTCGTGCAAGGGGGTCAAGTTAGTTTCATAGGAACCATAACTTTGAATTTCTGGTTTATGTATTTAAAATCTCAGTTGTAACATTGCATTAATGTCTTTTTGCTTTAAATTTAAAGAGTTTCTGGGTCTGGCCTAGTGCTGTTCCAGTCGTGTAGGAGATATGGGTTTGATTCCTGGTCCTAGTCCTAGTCCCCAACTTAATTTGTTAGGAGCTATAAGTCCTGCGATAGCAGCATACTTGAACCATGTGATGGAGAGAGTGCCTAACATTGCTCAACAGTGGCTGAGCCAGTTGATTTAAAGATCATATTAACAGACTCAAAGAATGGTGCGGTTAGGTGGGGCTGGGAAGAGAGTCTGATGGTTCAGATAAGAATAGAATGGATAGCTTGGAGTGGAAATGTCTGATCTTGAAAAGATTAGTATATTTTGATCATTTTATGGTAATCTGTATACATCTTTTTTCCGTAAAATGATTTCCTCATTTTCAGACACTGCCCAGTGGCCATATTGTTATACTAGATGATTAAGCAAAGTGTGAATTTAAACTTTTTCTCTCTTTTTCTCTATTGCTTTTCAGAAAGCAAATGACAGTAAGTGGTTTACTGGACCCCAGCTGGTTTCTCTTCTAGATTTAGTGCTGTTGCTTCCTGAAGGGGCTGAAACAGATCTTCTCCAAAACTCAGATAGGTGAGATGTAATCAGAACTAGAGTAAATCTAAATCTGTGTGTGTGTGTGTGTGTGTGTGTATAATAAAATTTGAAGATTGCCTATATTTTTATTTAATGACAAAATATGCAGCAGTCACTTGCTTAGTTGCACTTAATCTAGGAGGAGAGTATCAGTTTGTCTCAGAATTTTAGAACCAGAGATGAAAATTATTAGTTAAATAAACTAGTTCCTCCCTGTGATGCACGTCTACCTCAGTTTCACCTTGGAATCCATCCATGCAAAGGAATATTGTCTCCTTTAGTGGTAAATTCAAACCCTTTTGTTGATATAAAAAGTCAGACACCTGCTAGTAAAACATTTCTTCTCAAAATCCCAAAGTAAAACAAGGTTACAATGAAGCATCTCTTCAATCCCCTTTAAAGGTCACCCTTCCCTAATCACCTGAGAGGCATTAACTACTCTTCCTCAGTTCCTTTAACCCCTGCTCCAGGGGCCCACTGTCCAGGCCATCTACCTGTGGGTGAAAAGCAGGTCTTGGAACTCTCAGGTCTTTTCCAGTAGCTCCCAAGTCAGGTCTCCTGCAAGAGGGCTCCCTGCAGTGCTTTACTCCACCCAGGCCTCCTTCCTTGTGAATCCTACCCCTGTTCAGAGGAACCTCCCTCTAAGAACAATCTTTTGTTCTTGGGCTCCGCCAACAGCCCTCCACTTGACTCTTCTGCCAAGGTCTCCCTGCAGTGTTACGCTCCTCAGGCCTCCTGGCCTGTGAGTCCCACATCTGTCCTGTTCAAGGAACAGTCCCTCTCTTGTTTCTGATCTCAGCTTTCACTGACCATGCTGGTCCTTCCCATCTTCCTAGGGGCCACTGCACAAGCCTTTTTGCAACTCAGCAGGGTTCCCCAGCTCTAGCCCATCCTCAACAGTTTTCCTGAGAACTCATCACCAGCAGCTCATGGTTACTGCACTCCTTGAGCTCTTGCCCTCGAACAACTCTCTGCTGCTCCTGTCTTTCTTCTGTGCTTAGGCAACTCTCACCTGCCCCTTCTGACTTTTTCAGTTTCCCCTCACGCAGCTTTTCCTTGGCTCTTCCTTCAGGGACCTCCCCCGTAGGGCCTGGGCACCCTCTTTTAAGCCTAATTGGAGTCAGCTGACTAGTCACAGGTGTACTGGCCTCTTCCTTTTTTAAAGGACCAGTCCTCCTATGACACTTCCCTTTCAGTGGAGTGCAGCATTGCTGTAGAAAATGTCATGACTGTATTAAGTTGAAACTAACAATAAGAGGTTACTTACTAGTAACTGTTATTCTTCAAGTGTCACCTCTGTGCTAGCCCTTTTCTGAGATGTGGTGCCCTGGCATCGAGCTGCAGAACTACCTTGAACGATGCTCCTTCAACACAAGAGAGCTTGTGTGAGGGTGATGTCATTGCCCTACTGTATATAAGGAAGTGCATCATCCCCCAGCAGTCTCAATTTCTTCTCCCTAACCTCAGACATTATATAGAAATCTGAGGCAGAGGAGAAGTTGGGCAGGTAGTGTGAGTGCAGAGAATTCTTGAAGAACAAAAGTAACCTTTTTTTCTTCGAGAGAGTCTGTTTTCCCATTTGTGATAAACTAATAAGGAGTGCTCCAGGAGGTGGAGGGTGGACATGGAGTTCTTAGCTAAATATGGACTGGAGCTCGGCTTTCCCAAACTGGCCATCAGAGCACGATGCTCAGTTGAAGGAGTGGGTCTAGCACAGAACTCCCAAATTGCTACTTTACTTATCTCTACCAGAGGAACCTGCCTAAGGCACGCTACTGATGCTGTGGTGACTCTTGCAGAATGGGTCTTTAAACCAGGGGGTTTCCTAGGTGGGACATAACTGTATGTGAGTATCTGTGCCGTAGTGGGTTCTCCCTGGCATCTCTTTCCTTATATTTCAGATAACTTAAGGGGTTTTCTAAAGAGTTTGGTCTTTTTCCAGGTAAAAACTGAGTGGACTTTACATCTAGGTGGGCTTCCCAAGGGTAGGAATGAGGTCTGGTGAAGAACATGAGGAGGGAAATACATGGAGATAGGTGGAAATCTGAGACAACCTTAAGCATGAAACTGGTATGGGGCTTCATGGTGACTTTGTCCTTGTGGACCAGAGTATAAGGTGGAATGTTCAAAGCACTAAGCTCACTCACCCTCCTAGCAGATGTAATTTCTATTAGGAAGGCTGTTTTAATCACTAAGCGTGTGAGAGGGACTTGCCCAAGAAGCTCATAATGAGGGCCTGTCAGCTTTGTTGGGTCAAGATTTAGGTCCCATAAAGGCAGGGGCTCCCTAATTGGGAGAATTTAGTTACCATGTCCTTAAGAAATCTGGAGACCTTAGTATGGAAGATAAGATTCTCCTTAATGTAATTGTGATGAGCAGATATTGCTGCCATATGGTCCTTTAGGGAGGCTAAGCCTAAGTCCTGAGACTTAAAGTTTATAAAGTACTCTAGGATTGCATGGGCCCAAGCTCAGGATGGAGTCACTTATTTACTAGTGTCCCAGATAGAAAACAGTTTCCAGTTTTGTTTATAGCAGGGTGGAGCCCTTTGTGGATTGTAAGAGAATGGTGTGAACCCTTATATTAGTCAGCAGGTTATCCTCCAGGCTGCAGGTGAAATGTCTCTGGGTTGGAATGCAGAATCCTTCCTTACTGTTGAGATAGGAGGTTTGGAAGCCGAGGCAACAAGTACAGTGGTTCTCTGGCCAGCTGCAGAAGATGTGGCTGCCAGTGACTATGAGGTCCCGTTGAGGCTATTAATAGGATGTTGGCTCTGTCCAACCTCATCTTTATAACACTTGGTATCAGGGGAATTGGAGGGAGACACATACTAGGAACAAATCTAAGAGGACTTTTGTCTTTGTGTGTACTTGGCATTTGGTGTTTGTTTGACACACAGTGGTCTATTCTGGTTGTCTCCATCTGTGAAATACTTGGGCTCGCCCCCATTGGTTTCAAGCAGCACTTGTGTTGATCTGGAAGCCTTTTGCTGAGCAAGTCTGCCTTCATGTTCTTCTTCCCGGGAAGGTGAAGAGCTACATAAGTTCTCCAAAGGGGACTCATATGGGTCCTCTGAAGGAGTCTCATCCCATTTCTCAGCTAGAGACAGGTCTTTGCAGTGCTGGTATCATTGCTGGCAAGGGAGGCTTGTGTTGGCACCAGATGAGGAATAGATGCCTATAAGGGTATCAGTGCTGAGGGAGGGCACCATGTTGGAACAGATACTGGTACTGAGGTCTGTGCCAGAGCTGGTATCTCAGCCTCCTGCAGGACTTTCATGGAGTCCTGTACATAGGGCCACATGGACTGCTGAAGAGGACCCTCTGAGATCCTTCCATAATTTCTGGGTCTGAGGTGAGGGAAGTTGACTGAGTCTCAAGATTTAAGCAGGTCATCTTCCAGATTCAGCTCTGAAGGGGTCAAAGGGTACCCCAAGGTGATTCTGGATTGTGACTAGAGAAATTGGTATAGGTAATCAAGCAGTAGAAAAGCATGAATGATTGCCAGTAGTCTCAACAGCAGATCCCCTTTCAGGCCTTGAAGGTGTTACTGGAATCTGAACCCGAGAGGAGTCAAGGTAGTCAGTACTGAGACGTTCAATTCCAGAGGAATTTGGAGAAAAACTGCTTGCTTCAAGAGTGTTCAAGCCACTTAGGAGAGTTGGAAGGAGGAGAAGGATAGTGCTTCTTTTTTCTTTTGCTTATGTCCTTCTTGTGGGAAGGTTTCATTGGGCCATCCCATGAAGGGCTTTGAATATCAACACAGAGCCTTTGAATTAGTTTCTAGTCAATGGGAAGATGCTAGAGAGATGCACTAGGTTGACCTGTATTACTAAACAGATGGGCTGCTGTGTTTTATACCAGTTGGTGTTTTTTCAGGATGTGTGGTTCTTAAACAAATTAAATTACTGTTAAATTTAATGTAAATCTGCACTCTAAGTGATGAATTGTACATTTCTAATTCATAGGATTATGGCCTCACTAAATCTATTGAGATATTTAGTCATTAAGGATAACGAATACGACAATCAAGTAAGTGATGATAGCTTTTTAAATCAATCTTTTCAGTTTAAAAACAATAGCTGTGCAAGTTCATGACAGTTAGCTGCTGCTGCAAAAAAAGTCTTTATTCAATATCCAGTGAGAATGTTTCTGTTAATGGTGTTCAGAGAATTTTGAAGTTTTATACTGGGGAAAATTAAATGCTTTCTCACTGACTATTTTTTTCAGCAAGTTTATTCTAGTGTTGTTCTACCTCCACCAGAAATCCAGGTCAGCACCTGTAATTCCAGATGATATCACCATAAAATAAAGGCTATATCTAGTATTCCAAAAAGAGTAAATATACTTTTACTTGTATACAGATGCCTAGGAAGGGCTCACTTCCGCCAAGCATTGTAAAGCTTTTTAGATGGGATCTCTCTACAAACCTTTAAAGTTTTAGAATTGCTTCATTATTCAAGGAAACCTCTTTATCATTTAGCTTTAAGTGGCATAGTATACAAGAAGAGAATTTATTTTAGTGTCAGGGTGTCTCCCTAAGCATTTTGACAGCTCTGCATTGAATAGCTTTTGTTTTTAAAACGTAAAAAAAAAAAATCCTGTATTTCCAACCCCTTCTGAAATTGCATTTTTGGTAAATGTCAATAACTCCCCTGGGTATTCAAGCCAAATCAGTGCTTCTCAGTAAGATCTGCATTATTGAAGAATTGATATGCCTGTCCCAAATTAGCAAAAATACAGAACATCTTAAACAATAGATATAAATTAAAAAAACCAAACACTTGTAATGAAAGAGTTATTTATTCTTCTCGGGTTTCCGAATCCCCCAACTAAAACAATATGAAATAGCTTCCTGGTACTTTCTCAGTTCACCGAGACCCTGCAGCAGTGTTAATATATTTTGCATAATATACCATGCTGTGAAATCCCAACTCGCCATGTCAAGACGAAGATTTTCAAACAAAGCAGATGATATTTTGGCAAAAATGGGTTGGGAGGGAAATAGGACTAGCTCGTAGTGCTGTAATTGCTCCTGGCAAATGTGTTTTATTGAACTACTTTCTTAGGATAAATTCTGTTCTCTCTAAGAGGGAAAAAACAGTACATTCTTTCCTCCTAAGGGCAACACACTTAAGATTGTATGCCATTCTGATTTTGCAGATAGCTTTGTTGCTCTGGCTGTGGGCAGAGTTTCCACATCAGTTTTTCTGACAGCTATAGTCTGTGTTTAATCCATACCTTTGCTCTTATATTGACCTCTCTTTTTTGCATACCCTGTACCTTTTTCTGGCTGGCTACTTCATTGTTTTACCAGATATAGCTTAGAATGTTTCATGCATGAAGATCATTTACTAAACTACCTTACACTGCAATTTCAGACTGAACACTATGTCTTAAATATGTATAAGCAGGGAATCCATACATTTCCCCCATTTCTCTCATGCTTTAATGTTTGAATGCTAATAATCCAGAAATTGTTACTATAAACAAGTGAAACCCTCCAGCCTATTGTACTGTCCTAACTGAAATGGAAAAAAATAAGAAAACAGCATAAATGGTAAAGTATTTTATAGCCATATCAGTGTTAATAACCTAGGGTGTAGGTTGGAATTGTCAAACAATTTTTTTTATATGTTCTCTTTAAGCTTTAACAGCTCCTAGCCAATAGCCGGAAAGGCAGAAACACAGCATAGAGAGAGGTGCATGATTTTGGCTGTTTATAATTTTATATAAGTGGTAGAAGTTTTTACTCAACTTCATTTTAAAGCAAGATTTTACAATGTCGAAAATGTGATGAATTGTTCAGCTTTATCAGCAGGCCCGTGATTTATTTTTCTCTCTCTCATCTGAAGCAGTCACCAATATTTGTTATTGGCTATGCTATTTCAGATCAGCCCGGACCATGCTTATCATTCAACTGCTGTAACAGCTTTTCAGTGTACTGTTTTATGACTCATTGATTTGTTTTTGTATGCAATCACTCCCATCTAGATGGACAAATGTTCTTAGATAGCCGAGGAAGCAATTTATATTTAAATTTCACAACTGGCTTAACGTCAGGTTGCATTTCTGAGCAGCTGAACTATGATTTCTTTAAGTTCCATAGCCTGCACAGTTTAGCTACAGTATTGAAGACTGAAGAGCCATTGGAATTTTACATGTTTAATTTTCTTACTGCACTCCAGTACTGAAAAGGCCACTTATCCCCATAACAAAGGCAAATCCTACTGACTCTTTTCCCCAGACACCAACATTCCTGTAATTCATACAATTCAACAGCTTTTATCATCAACCAGGTCTCATAGTAAAGGCTTTATTTTAAAAACTATTCCTAATATAATTACACCTTCCCTTCAAGCTAGTTTTCCTGGTTTCCCTTGTTTCTTAATGCCCTTTATATAGGAACCTAAAGTTGGGGAAAGTTCATTAGTCACCTTGCAGATTCTAAATTAGTTCCATTGAAGGAACATGACTGTAATGCTGCCTGTAGTGATTCAAGAATATTATTGCCAGCCTCAGGCGGACTGTTAGGAACCAAGGCACAAACCCCAAATTAGTTTTGAGTTCTATGCTTAGATTTCATCTACAGATTACCAAGTATAAACTACTCAGGCACAATAATAGCCTTAATATGGAGTCACGGATATTGCCCTCTGTTACTCTGATCTGTCTCACCACCCAGGTGAGCCTACTTTTGTGATAGATGGTCCCTTACACCAAGAATCACAGAAATATTCAGGTTACTCCAAGTCCCAAAGGACCAGTCACTTACCCCACGTCAATTGCAGCTTAGCTCTCACACCAAAGACAACGCTGTAGCCAAACTATATAAAGATTTATAAAATAGGAAGAAGAAACCAGAGAGTTATTTACAAGGTTAAAGCAGGTAAACATATACACAAATGAGTTACGATCCTAAGTTTCAAAAGGTAATACAAGCTTCTGTAATCAGCAAATTTTGTATGTCGTTTAGGACTAACCCAGGCTAAGCAGCTGGGGATCTTTTGCTTTTACCTAGAAACACTTTGCCTCCCACCCCCACCCCAGAATTCAAGCAGCATATAGATAATCAGCTCCTCCTTGTTAGGAATTTTTATCCCACTCTTTCCATGTGCTCTGAGTTGCAAACTCAGCTGATAGGAGGAATCCACTGGCATGAATCATCTTCACGGCAGACGGGCGAAGGGGAGAGCAGAACAACATCTTTTGTCCCTTTTAACATGCCACAATAGTTTGTCTGGTGTTGACTGACCTTGCGTGTTGGGAAGGACGTAATGCCTTCTCTTGATGATAAGCCCTTCACACTAATTAACATCTCTCTCCCTATCTGGTGATTTGCACAGTCACTGAGGCTTACAATACAGGTACTCAAACATTACCTGACAGTATGGGATACAGATGTTATAAGTGAGATTAATGCATGCAGCAACCCACAAGCATTCAATAAAGTCTAAACACATTATTATAATTCTAATACCTATTTTAACAATTCTAGCCCACAAGTGAGCCAGACTGATTCCAGATATGTATTTGTTAGTGTTCAGTTGAGACATGGGGACTCTGGCATGAGTGGGTACTGGTCTGAGCACTTCCCAATGACCTTTTAAGAAATTCCATTGGTTTCACTATTCATACATTAGTGGTTTCACCAAAATCTACATACCAGTACCCCAGTATATACTATTCACAGGCAAAAAATTGTAATCGGAAGTTAGTTTGTAAATATTTATCACTTTAATGTGGTTGGGGAAGGGATCTTTGAGAACATTATAGTTCTGTAGCTTATGGGTCCTGTATCACCACCATTCTTCAGACCATATTTGGCCTTCAGTTACACGCTATTATATTCAAATTCTGCTATCAGTTACAGAATTTGGAGTTATATAGGTGTAAGTGAGGCAGACTTTGTGTGCAATTAGAACTTAATCATGGTGTATCATTGGAGATGTAGTCCAGCTGGGGAACCCATCCCATAGAAAAGAATGGGGACATGAGGAACCTGAACTACAATTCCCATGAGGTACTGTGGCAGCATTTCTTAATCAAAATTTTTCAGTTTTTGTAAATTCATTTTTTTTTGACCCAAAGTCAATTTTCTATGGCAAGTAGACACCTTGTGAAAAATTGTCTAGTCAAAAAAACAAGTTCTGTCAAAAAAAGATTTTGAAAGAAAAGTCTTGACCAGCCCCAATTGTAATTTTTCATGTTTTTCTCAATGACTTCAGCATCCAATTTGCTAAGTTTACCATAAAAACTTTTTTCCCTACCAGCTGATTTTGATATGCCACCTGGATTTGATAACCAAATAGACTTTTTTTCTGGCTCATGCAACATCAGGAATAGATTCTACAAGTCAGATTATGCCCTTAGCTACCTTAAACAAAAAAACAACAATCCAACTATTTACAATACATGTTACTAACAGAGCTGTCCCAATTCATCACCATGTTCATTTGCTAGTACAGTATGTTGTATCTAGGGTGACCATACAGCAAATGTGAAAAATTGGGACAGGGGTGGGGGGTAATAGGAGCCTATATAAGAAAAAGACCCAAAAATTGGGACTGTCCCTATAAAATCGGGACATCTGGTCACCCTAGTTGTATCCCCATCTCCTGCCCTTCAGCTGTTTGTCTTTAGATTGCAAACCCTTCGGGATAGGGATTGTTTGTACAATGTCCAGCATAATCAGTGCACCCACAAAGCAGTTTCACAGGTGTTAGCTTATGGCAGAATCTGGCTTTGTAGTGGGTACTTAGCTAATAATTCTGTTCATGTTTGAATTAGATTAGTATATAGCATATTTTCTTAGCTGTGTTGCTTCTGCAGTGGCAACAGGAGTACAAATAGGAAAAAGTGAGCAGATCAGACTTTTACACATACAGATAGCCAGATCCATTGTGATAGAACTTAGAATGTAAGTCTTTGGGGCAGGTCCCATGTCTAATTACTTGTCCATAAAGCACCTCATACTAGATGCAATAGAAACAAGGCCCCCTGCCCAGGTACATGAAATATGCCACAGAATCTGAGCTTTTGCTTTAAAAATGTGGGGGAGGGAAAGGGAATTTCCAAGCCTTAAGTAAATTATTTCCAACAAAGATAACCTTCCAAATGTTAACAAGAAATGTTGTCTACCTGAATGTGCAGAGAGATCACCTGAAGCAGTCAGGATAAGAGAGGTTGAACTACTCCAATCATCTTAATAGGTTGTTAACTCTGAAATCTAGGTATAATTTAAATAGCAACATTAATTATTTCATTGCTGATCATTTTAGCAGAAACCTACAAGTATAGTGCTTATCTATTGTTGGAATTACTAGCAGGGAAGCTGGGATGGGGAAATAGGAGTCCAAGGGCTTGTCTACACTATCACATGGGGTTGATCTAAGATGCGCAACTTCAGCTACGTGAATAGCATAGCTGAAGTCGACGTACTTAGATCTACTTATTGCGGTGTCTTCACTGCACTAAATCGACAGCTGACACTCTCCCGTCAACTCCGCTTGCTCTCCTCGTTCTGGTGGAGTACCGGAGTCGACGGGAGAGCGCTCAGCGGTCGATTTATCGTGTCTATACTAGCTGCGATAAATCGACCCCTGCTGGATGGATCAATCGCTGCCTGCCGATCCAGCAGGTAGCGTAGACAAGCCCTAAGCCTTCTTCACCCCCCACAAAAATATCAAGTCACTTCCAACTTAGCCTGCAAGAGGGAATGAAAGAATATGCACCTTCCCCATGTGCTATAATCCTCAACCTACATGCCAAAAGCTCAACCTTCCTCTTATCCAGCAGTTTTAAGACTTCAGTTTTCTCTTGAAAATTTTGATAATGCAATTAACATGAATACAGAAATAGCAAAAATAAAACAAGGAATGCTGTGCTGATTGTATTATTTCCAGTAAAAGACTCTGTTTTAGTTTATCTGAAGCTTGCTACAGACTTCAGTACTTGTTTATTTAGGTCAGCTACATTTTCTTTCATAACAGAATGTAGCATATGATGTAATTCTGTCTTAGTAGTGCAGTGCTAACGGCCCAGTTTTGAGAATAATTTCACCTCTGGTTTATAAGGAACGTAAATGCTGCTATAGGAAGGCAAAGGAAGTTAGGGGGATTCAACAGCTTAAACGTGCAGGTCAGCACAACGGGATGAGTAAATCCTTTTCCTTCCTGGATCAGCAGTTTGTGTTGTAAAAATAGTTAGGACGGAAACTGTGTTCTAAGGCTTAGCAAAAAAACTCATTTCTCACATTTTCTCTTTTCCAATTTGAACAGACTGGTATATGGACTGAACTTAACAAGATTGAGCAAAATTTCTTAAAGCCTTTGCACACAGGACTTAATATGTCAAAAGCACATTATGAAGCAGAAATAAAGAGTAAAAAGGAAAATAGACGAGGTTGGTTGTCTCCATTATTATCATTTGTGTCCTTTAGATGTGGAAATTGTGTGAGAAAAATGAGTGTTCGTGAACACTATGTAGGTTGTATTTTAGATAGAATTATTTGAAATATGCTGGGTTTGAAATGACCACACAACAACCCTGTAGATACCATATTTGTCATTAGGAACTACTTTCACAATATTATAGGGGTCAGAAGCCAAATCTGAGGGCTTTGTTTTCATTACTAGGGTTTCTTCAGTTTTTCATCCAATATGGACTATTTACCAAAAGTAGCCATTACTCAGGGTCTGTTCACTTCCAAGTGCACATACATGTAAGCCTTATGGAAGCTAACAGAAAAATATGTGATTCGGTATTGTTTCAACATGAGTGATGTCATGTGGACATTCAAAAATTGCTCTGCACTGCTACTTCTGGCTTAGTGTTCATGCTTTAAAGTATTTTTGAGTGGTAGAGCAGGTATGTGAACTATTAGATACAATCTTAAGTCCTGAAATATTACATTTTATGTTTTTGTTATATTTGACACACAGGGTAAGATTCTGTGCTGGACCTCTCTGAGGCCCAATAGGAGTGGGACTCAACATGGTTTTGAGCCCCCTATGCACACTTCTGAGCTTGTGCTACTCCATGGCCTCTGAAGCAATTTAGACAGCCCTGGCTGTGGCCTGCAGGGCTGCCCATGGCCTGCAGTGCTGCCCAGAACCTCAGAAGTGTTATGGTCTCACCCCCGTATGCCCTCTAGAGGAGGACTCATGAGAGGTTCCTCTGAAGGCAGCCTGTGGTTGTCTTCCTTAGTTCCTACACCAAGGGAATCTTCCCTCAGCTGAATCTGAGGCTTTTGAGAGCACCTTTTTGCCTCTCTGACCCTTTCACCTGGTCAGAGTGGGGGTGAAGATCTCACCCATAATATCAATAGGATAGTAAAACTAAACCATTACCAGGATACTGTAAGACTTCATTGTTCTGGTAAGTTACAAGTATTAAGTTTAAAAAGAGATACTATTTTCCTCAGTTTCCAGAACTGCCCTTGCAGCCTTCAGAAGCAATGCAAACCAAGAAGGGCGCATGGATTAAATATGGAGAAGCTAGCAGCCTTTGCTTAAACAATAAAATTAATATCTAAGTGGTAGATAAATTAAATCATGGCATCGGACTTTCTCCTGCCATCTTTTTACATGTGTAACTATCCATTATTCAAAGAAAGTTTGTTGTATTAAAAATGGATGACAGGATTGTGCTGTGGGAACTCTTGCATTTTTCGATTTTATGTGACTTGCAGCTTCATAAAATTGTCTTGTACTGCAATATAATAGACCTCTTGCTATTTTACTATAGTACAAGATTTATCTTTTGAAACCCATCTAGTAATTGTTCATATGCAACACGTACTATAAAGGACAGCCCAATAGCTTAGTAATGCAGTGACCTGCCATATGGAAAACTGAAGCTATAGGAGCCACCTCAGGTCTACATTCTGTTAGAATTCAACATCCTCCATTCTTAGCTCTTGACCAATCACTAGATACACACATTTAACAATTTAGAATTTATAACTGTAATAGAATGAAGATGTTAATTTAAAAATTAGATGGAACATCCTGCTGCTCTATAATATGTTCTTTTCTTTTGCTGCAGAATCTCACAATTCTAAAGCAGTTTGTTCTGTAACAGTTGGTGGGGAAAAGATGCCTAACATGACCACTGAAATGCAGCTTCAGGTGAGTTCATACCTTTTTCCAAAGTTATGCAAATGCATTTAGACAGTTGTTTGGGGGATTTTTTTTACCTGAAGGCAAGTGTACATTTAGAGCTGACTGGAAAAAAAATGTCATTGTGCTAATATAAATAACATGAATTTTTCTTGACATTTCAGGTTCTACATTCAGCTCTTTTCACATTTGATTTAATAGAAAGTGTTCTGGCCCGAGTAGAAGAACTCATCGAAGTGAAAATAAAAACCATAACATAAATATTGGTGGTCAAATGAAGCACTTGGTGTCCTAAATCCTAGTGGGTTTTTAACGCTTGCAGTACATTAAGACGTTGGTCATTATGACTTTACTTGAAAGAGACATTATCAAGCTTTAAACAAGTCTGTTGAAGAATTATTTATAAAAGGCTGCTAGAATACTTGCAACTGCTGTTCTTTACGTGTCTTATTACATGTCTTTACTGTAGAATCTGATTAGTGGAGATAGACAATGTACTAATTTCAACAAAATATCCCAAGCTACCCTCTCATTGAGTTAGCTGAAGTTTTGCTAGAGTTTGGAAATTGCATCTGCTTGGCATAAGATAATTATATTTTATTAACCTTTGGAGACGAGAGGATGTTTTTGGTGTGTAGAAATAGCCTTATGTTTGCATTACCTAGAACCCAATAATGATGTTTGGAAAGTTTTGAGCTCCACAGATGTGTAAATACTAGGTATTATTACTGCAATTAATATTGCCAACCATACTTCTAGATTAATAAAGACTGACTGTAAATCAGGACTATCCATACTGGAGATCTGAGCATAGGGATTTGAGGACAAGGGGAAGCCATGCTTCAAAAAACACCTCCAGGACAAAACAAGATAAGTTTAGAACTTTCCCCAGTGAAAGGTAATATACATAAACAAGACAGTAAGCATATATTTTGTAAAGAGAAACGAGAATGCAATTCAGTGCATAAGTTGGTAATGCGTAATATGGTCTAAAATATATGGACTTGGGGGAATCTACTCTAGGATCATTTTGATTATTCTTATCCTCCCTAACTATGAAGAATCTCCCAAAGAGGTGTTTAAATGTTTTGGAAAATCACAGATCACTTTGCAATCAAGCTGAAGGTAAGGCACTTGCTTTTTAATGATGGTTTTATTTAAATTGCCCAAATTGTAAAAACAAAACATAAAAAAAAATCCCGTAACTTTTCTCTAAGTTAGCAAATTTGGTATAACTCACACTATATAACACTGAATATCACAATAAATGTTATGTAAATTTTCATTTAATGCATTAATTATATACACAAATATTTTTAAGCTGACCATTTTTTGTACAGTTGCTGTATTTTTTTTGAACAGACAAGAAAAGCATTTGTATTTTGTTTAGAAATGTAACTCCAGAAGTTTTGAATAAATCTAATTGGTACTAAGTTAGTTACAATCCAACTGGATCTTGTGAAGCATTTTCCAAACTGGACTCTGGTCTATGATCTGGGCTTTTGCCATTAGCATTCTGTAGCGAATGTTGTCTATGTGTGGTTTGCAGGTGATCTTAAAAGGAAAAAAGAAATATGTGACACTACTTACAAATATTTTGATTAAAAGAGAATTAGATAGTTTGGGTAAAGAAATACTGAATCATTTACTCTTAATATAGTACAACTGGAAATTACAAAGAGACTGAGACCAGATTCTCTAAACTGGATATCTGGGGGTGAGAGAGAAACAAAGGTAACAGGGTAAGCTGCATTGGGGTGCCAGGCTGATCCTAAAGCACAACTTAAAGCAGCTGTGGGACTGCTTTGTTCATATTCTAATAACATCCCACAAGAGGTTGTTACAGCTGCCAAGGATTGGCTAAATATTGTTGCTCCCTGGCTACCCCTCCTGCACTGGGGACAGGGAGGAGTGAAACAGCAGTCATTATGCATGTTGTACTCCAGCTGGGGTTCCCCAGATGGGGGAGTCTTGAGGCTGTTTTGCACTGGCAAACTAGTGCAAGTTGACCCCTGCAGGGGCCAGGCTCTGGCCTTAAGATTTAGAACTATATTTTAATGGCCATAAATAGATCTGGGCCTCATGCTAACATCCTTTACATGGAACTCCCATTGAAGTCATTGGGACATTAGTGCAGATCAAGTGCAGGAGAGCTTCAAAATGTATAGCAGTACGCCTAATTTTATTTAACACTGAATTAGGATATGGTACAGAACAGATTTCACAAAAAGCTAGAGGTCTGACGTACAGTGGTTACTATTAAGATGTCAACATTTAATAGTTGTCACACTGTAGTACATGAGATGCCACAGTTGTTTTATAGACTCTAGAATAGAAAATAATTGCAGTATCTTATGCCAGAATATTGTAACTTGGTAAATGCTAATTTTTTATACGGTGACCACTTATGAAAAAGATAAAATGCAAACTAATATCTGGTTTGTGCTCTTCCTTTTATTTTTGGTACATTATTGGAGTGCTGTTCATACTAGTATAATTAACGTTGACTCAGCATTTCTGTAGAAAAATCATTAAATAACTTCTGCATATGCATTAATCTTTTCAAAGAAAATTCTTGTTTACTTAAGCATGTAGGATGTGTGGCAGTTGCACAGATATAAAGAACACAAACGGCTCTGTTGTAGTTGCTAGTCTATAGAATAGATTTATACAAGTAAATCTATTATTGATTGAAGTCCACAAGCTGCTATAGTCTTTAGGTTAATAATTTACTTTAAGAAGACCTTCAATATTTACAGCCTGATTTTGATTTCATACTAGTTTTACACTAATAAATGAATGGAGTCACTCCTGATTTACAGTGGCAAATGAGAGCAGAATTAGGCCCTAGAGCTCTGTCATTCATCTTTATACATGCTAATAAGACCTTTTAAAGCTATTTTTGATAATAGTTTGAAACAAACATTTGAACTACAACATCAGTCTTCGGCTTGCGTTCTTAGAACAGTAGTTATTGTTGGGACTCTGATCAATGTAACAGTAAGCTACAAGCTCAGTTAAGGACAAATTTTTTTTTTATAATTCATTGTTTTTATTAATGTATTTAAAAAAAAAACGTTCATGGGTAATATTTGTTAATATATACCACAAGACTTACCTTGGCTATAGTTAGCATGAGTTTAACAGTTTCAGCAGTGTTATGAACTGGAATTACTCGTAAATTACTGCCCAGGAATCTGCACATCAGAATAACCATGGTTACATTTAAAATATATATTTACAGTACATGACAGCTTAAGGCTGAAAAACCCTTCTCACATTATCCAAATAATATTTCTCCATCCAAGCATTTCCCACAATTCTGGACGTCTGGGCTGCTGTCCTCTCTGTGCATCTCATGGAGGCAGTGTTTTGGCACCACATGGTCTGGCCATATCCCTTCTGCTCCTGCTTGCTGCCAGATTCTCTGCCTCCACAGCAGCAGACAGTGGCAGTTTCTTTGCCTCCTGCCCTTACAACTTCTATTTTAACTTTTCTACCCAGTTTTTTGGGCAGTGGGGAGCAGTGTTCTCCCTCCTCAGCATTCCTCTTTCTCCCTGGGTCAGTTAACCTCTGGGGGGTTTAACTGTCCCTGAGCTTTCACTGCAGCATCTCCCTGCTTGCTCCTCTGCACTTCTTTCCTACCAAACTTTTTCCTACTATCGCTACATCTCACTGTTTCCCAGACATCCAGAATTGTAGGAGATGCTGTGCTGCAGAACAGAAAATTTCTTACCAATAATTCCCTTCCTGCTAGCAGCATCTCCCACAATTCTACCCATCCTGGTAGGGGTCTTGTTACCATATGACTGTTGTCCTTGGTCTAATGTACATAAGTACTTCATTATCTCTGGAACATTTGTTAATGATGATATGCAAGTTTTACAGTTTGGGAATAATTTATCTGGCAGCAAGCAGAAGCACAGGATGTGTGTCCAGACCATGTGGCGCCAAAACACTGATCTGCCTCTGTGAGCTGCAGAGAGGAGAGCAGCCCAGATGTCCAGAATTGTGGGAGACATTGCTACCAGAAAGCAAATTATCAGTAAGAAATTTTCCAATCCTATTTCCTACACTCCCCACCAGTGCATGCAGAGTGTTTTTGGGATTATTTTGTTGTGGTGTGTTTTTTTGTTTGTTTGTTTTTTTAAGGCAAATGGAGGGTTGACACTATTCTTACACCCCTCTCACCCCCCCTCCACAGCACCTCCTCTTCCTGTATTTTTATGGGGTGTTACAGGAGAGAAGCTCCCTTCTTTCTCTGGAATGCTTAGGGACAGAGTCCCAAGCCCTATTCCACTTTGCTTGAGACCAAGCTCCTTCAGCATTTATGTGCGCAGGAAGGATTGAGACTGTAAGCACTGCTTTGCCATGCCATTTGCAGAATTAGTTTTAACTCTCAAAATGCCAGTAGCCAAGTGGATTTGTTGAGGATGGTGGTAGATTACAGTCAAGTGTCCGAAAACACTGAGCAAAAGGAATAGGTCTAAATCTAAACTCCCATACCTTGTTACCGCACTATCCAGACAGATCGTGCTACCTGTCAGTTATACACAAAACAAGAGGATAATCCTGATAAAAAATTCCCTTTAAACACACAAAAGTTTATGAAGAGGCAGGGAAATTTGCACTGCTTCTGTCTGCAATATCTATTCTGGGGATAAATGGGACTTTACTATTTCCCCCCTCTCAATCCACCACTTCATCCAATGACATCTTTACAGCAGGGTCTATAATAGGTTTTAGTTACTCAAGCTGGAACTTAGCAGTGAAATGGAGGCAAGAAGGTTTAGAAACCTAAACTTCTAGAAACACTTGCACAGATTTTGCTTTCCAGAATAGTGCTAAAATACTTTAGGGACTATGTCTACACTAGAGACCTTACAGCAGCACAGCTGTACCCACCGATGCAACTGTACTGCTGTAAGATCTCTTGTGTAGCCTCTCTGTGCTGACGGGAGAGAGCTCTCCTGTTGACATAATTAGACCACCCACAACAAGCAGCAGCAGCTATGTCAGCAGAAGAGGCTGTCCCACCAACATAGCGCTATGCACACTACCACTTATGCTGGCGAAACTTATGTTGCTCAGGAAGGTGTTTTTTCCCACCCCCGAGTGACATAAGTTTAGCCAACGTAAGTGGTAGCGTAGACATGGCCTAAATGTGAAGAATTAGGGTGACATGGGATGAGAATGCTTTAGAATAATCAAAGGTTTAATCCAAATAAGTAGCCAGCTGTTCAGATACTTACGGCTCCTGTGACCCTCCTTGTGACTATAGGTAAGAAGTTTTAAAAACTGGTGAACAAACATTTGTTAAATATTTCTTTATGCAGACAAGACTTGTTACAGGAGAAAGTTGTGGGTTTTTAGAAATTAAAGAAAAATAGCAAAATTTTCCAGTCAGTATTACAAGCCTAGAAAAAAGAATCACTAAATATATTATTGAAGTGATTGAAGAAAGTGTTACTTGTCATGCTTTCAAGAGTGTCCCATGCTGTCAAGTTGACTGTGATATGTCAAAATAATTGATAGCATTGTTTTGCACATTCTCTATTAATAAGACAAGCCAATGTTACAAACATTAGCCTCTGGCTAATTTTCCACTAGATAAGCAAAATCAAATTCACCTGTGTGACTATTTTAGAAATCTGTCTGTAGCACTTATGAATTCTGGTTGATATTATGAAGTTGTTACTATGTAAAATTGCTGTATCATGGAAGGCCTCTAGGTCTGTATATCCAGACCAAGAATAAGGGCTGGTCTACACCCAGCCGCTAGTTCGGCGGCTGGGGATCAAAGTTCTGGGTTCGACTTATCGCGTCTGGTCTGGACGCGATAAGTCGAACCAGGAAGTGCTCGCCGTCGACTGCGGTACTCCAGCTCGGCGAGAGGAGTACCGCGGAGTCGACGGGGAGCCTGCCTGCCGCGTGTGGACCGCGTCTGAACCGCGGTAAGTTTGAACTAAGGTATGTCGACTTCAGCTACGTTATTCACGTAGCTGAAGTTGCGTACCTTACTTCGACTTGGGGGGTTAGTGTAGACCAGGCCTAAGAGCAGATTGTTAAGGACTATCAGCATCTGAATAGGTCTTACCTGGGAAGAACAAAGGAGTTACTGCATACTAGGAGAAACTAGTTCTCCAACTTCCCTCACTTTTTTGGGGGGAGGGAGGGGGGGGTTGGGGGTGTGTGCGTCTGGCATTTGGAGAGTGGGAAATTCCAAAATACAGGATGAAGAAGCCAAAGTGTTGAGGGCAGCCTTTAAAAACCATAGTGGGTGAAGACACGCAGGCAAGAGGAAGGGGATGGATTAGCCTAGGTGAGAGAAGGGTCCATATTTCAGAATGCAAGCCATGCATTACAGCAGAAGGATTCTGGATGCCCCTGACAACTCCGACCCCAGCCCAAAGAGTGCTCTGGAGTGGTGAGGAAACAGACAGGGAAATGCATATACGGTTTATTATTTGTGAACAGAGGTGAGTATTTCTCGTGTGATTAGGTAAAAAGCAATGGTGTTAGAATCCTGTGCAAAGTGTCTGTGTGTTTTATGTGTTACACTGTAGGCCTAGGAGACCCACACAGCTAAAGTTCTGGGATGGGGTGAATTTAAATTCTGGGTGAAAGTCTAAGGGCTTAGCACCAATGGCGGATTTAGAGTTAGTGGGTCCCTGTGCGCAGCTTCATTTTCGGGGGGCCCCCTTGGAACCCAGCCAAGAAAAAGAACATTCTCTTATTCCCCTCCCCCCGTTTTTTATTCTTTTTTTCCTTCATCCTCCTCCTATCTTATAAGTAATGGGAAGTAAATGAAAATAAAGTTGGTTGGGGTGCAGGGGTCGGGCTTTGGGAGGGAGTTTGGGTGCTGGGTGCGGGCTCTGGGCTGGGGCTTTGGGTGTGGGAGGGTTGAGGGATCAGACGCTGGGAGAAAGTTTGGGTGCGAGCTCTGAGATGGGGCAGGGGGTTAGGGTGTTGGAGGGGGGCGGCGCGGCTCCCAAAGCGACTGGCGCGCACACTCCTTTGGCAGCGGCTCATTGGTTTGGGGCGGGAGCAGGGGCTCTCCGTGGACCGCTGCCCTCAGGCGCCGCCCGTGCAGCTCCCATTGGCTGTAGTTCCTGGGCAATGGGAGCTGTGGAGTTGGCGCTTAGGGCAGGGGCAGCACGCGGACACACACACACACACACACACACACACACCCACCCCGGGGCCGTAGGGCCGCTGCTTCCGGGAGCAGCGCGGTGTAGAGGGCAGGAGGCAGAGCAGGCAGGGAGCCGCCTTAGCCCTGCTGCTGGCACGTCTCTGTGCGCCCCTTTGGGGGGAGGGCAGCAGCGGGTCTCTGTGTGCTGGCAGGGGCAGCACACGGCACTGCCTCCCCCCCCAGCAGGGGTGCACAGAGACGTGCCAGCAGCCAGCCGCTTCGGGGAGCAGCGTGGGCCACCGGCCACGGCATGCAGGCAGCCTGCCTGCCTGAGCCCTGCTGTGCCACTGGCTGGGACTCAGGGGGAGGTTGTCAGATGAGATTTGTCCTGCATTTTGGGGGCCACCGCACGGCTTGTTTCATGGTAAATCTGCTCCTGCTTAGCACTGTTTCTAAGGACTGGGTAATGAGCTGTGAGGTTGCAGCTCTCAAGAGGGGGATACTAGACCGAGGGTCTGAACCCTGAGCATGTGCCTAGGAACCCCAAGACAGAGACAATGCCTTGGCTCTGTTGAGACTCTGGAGGCTTAAAACACCTGAAGATTCAGCCGTTGGATCACCTCACAGCAGTCTGGCAAGTGTCCAGCTTGGCAGGACCTTTGAAAATCTGTATATAGGACCTTTGTGTAAATATTCATTAATATTGCATCTCATTATTCTTTAGTAATAAAAATACTGGTCCCATTAAAGACATACCTTTTCTGAATCCTGAACATTAAATCCCATTCTTTTGGTCCATGCAAGGCAGCTGACAAAAGCAAAAAACTATTCCGATGAACGTTTATGAACTTCTCAGTTCTGCCTAAAAACAGTTCTCCTCCTGTCTTAAATAAGTCTTGTGTGTCTGCCAATAGAAATGCAATGCCTAGAGAAGAAATTGATTACAATGTAAGCTCAGTTTGTTACTTCAAGCTAGTAATGAGGTTTAGTCTTGTAACTACTAAGTCATCAATAAGCAGAACTCCCAACTCAAGCATTACTTTAGAAGGCAAAGGAATATAAAATGTGAGTCAATTCACATACCTTGGCAGTAATGTGCAAGCCAATGGGGATGGCCAGAAGGAAATAATGTCACAAATTGAACAGCAGCAGCTGCAGTCACCAGTTTAAGATTTGGTCATCGAAAATCTACAATTTAAGACCAAACTACAAGTTTTCAACTTAAATGTTATTTCCATATTAACATATGGATGGGAAATCTTGAAATCCACAAACGATACAGACAAATTCTAGGTATTTAATGGGATGAATTTATAACAATTGCCAAGATGAGTCAGACTTCAACAAACCTTTATCTCTAAAGTTATGAAGAAAAGAAGCTAGAAATATGTGGGGAACAGCTTAAGAACAAAGACAGAGCATCTGCAATGGCAGATGTGCCATTGGGCACCTGAAGGAACAAGCAAAAGGGACCAACTGAAAGAATCCCTTTGTCAAACAGTCCTCAGACAGGGAAACTTCTGAGACTTAGCAACGTGCAGGACATGGAAAGAGCAGCTCAGGTTAGACGGGTGTGGTGGAAACTTATTCATGCCTCATGCAATGTTGATGGCAAAGAAAGGGTTCAGATTCAGAATAAGCAGAACTATTTTGCCTAAATGTCACTTTAGTGGTTTAAAGTGCTGTTCTATTCTGAAAAGCAACTGTAGAAATAGTAATATGGGGTTTCATGTTTGTTGCCTCAGTGATTTCCTGGTCAAATCGGCTCATTTTACAGAGAAATTTTTTTTTGTAACTGCCAGCTCAGCAAATTTGACTTAGAAGATTAAGGTCAAGCTGGTTTTCTTTTCACACATCGTCACCAGTAGTAAAGGTTCTGCTGGCTAAATTATGCTTTAGTGATATTTGTGCAGTGATATTGTCTCAGCTAGATTCATGCAGGTGTGACTGGGATTCAGTAAACAGCTTGATTAATGCACAGAAGGAATAGAATCCAACTCAGTCACTCTAAGATGAATGGCTTCAGTAAAGCTTATAAGATTAAATAACTGCAGATTTTTTTTTTTAAATCACAAAAGTCATTAGGTATACATAAGGAGCTGTTCTGTCAAGCAAGATGACATTTTATATAGACACTTTTCAGACTACAACTGCACTTTAATGCAATAACTAGTATCTGATTTCTATTCACAGCCCCTCCTCTCCTCACTTCCACTCTTTTCTAATGTTGGCCTCTTGAAAAAGAAAATACTTTGGCACTTTCACATCCAATATTCCAAATTGTATGACATTTCTGCAATGCAGCTTTTGTACAGGTTCTTAGGTCTACTCTGTGCTACTGCAAGAGGATCTGCTCCTATACCCCATTAGAATTTCTGGCGAGTTCTTTAAGAAATATGTACTGCAATTCAATTTACTGTACCAGAAAGAGAAAAAATCATGGATCCATTTTCCACCGAATCTGAATATCGAACTCTGTGGTGTTGCCTCTGTAGAGATTCTGAAACTTCATGACTCTAAATAAATGTAAAAAATGTATTTTAAAACATGCTTGCAATCATATCAACTGGACTCTTAAAACAGAGTCTGACTGTTAAAAGGTCTTGAGTACCTTAGTTTAGAAAATATTTTTACTCCAGTAGCAGTAATGATTTTAAACATTTTAATTGAACTTTTGCATAATTGATGAGAATATGAAATATTTGCATAGCTGCAACAATGATTTAGGTATGAAATAATGGGGTGACAAACTTCTAATTTTTTTTTACCTCTTCCAGCCTGTCTACATTCATTTTTTCACAGGAAACACTTGCATAATACACAAGGAAACTTCGCAAACAACATTTTACAGTCAAATCTTTGTTTTTAAAAAGTAATGCACAGAAGGAAGATTTGCAGACAGTAGAAATGTACACACTAGATGTTTGTTTGCCTGCAATTAAGTAGGCTGGTTTGAATGAATCAATAAGGATGTCAGCATTTGACTTGAAGGACAGATAGATCAGAAAAGACTGCTCTGGACAACATCCTTACCATGGGAGCTTCATGGCAGAATACAAACTGCTTAGGAAAGCAAGATGACGACACCATGCAACAATGTCATCTGAAGAATGGGGTGGACTTGTACATATTTTTCAACCTGCAGGTTGAATTTTCTAGTGTTCTAGAAAAAAATATCTCGAACAATCACACACATTCTGGACTGTGACTTTAACATGCTCAAATCAGACTTCGGTCTCCTCAAGAGTCTGAATTTTAAAACAAAAATTGTGCACCCATATTTGAATCTCATAACTTATTACTGTAATCTATCCAAAGTATTAATACTGTATAATGGAAGAGATAAAATCTTCAGGGGGGAATCTAGAAGACGACAACATCCTTGCTGGAATGACTTACATTGATAAGCTGGAAAAAAAGAAATCCATATAGTAGTATCAATGCAATATAAAAAGAAAGACATGGGTTAGGAAAACATTTAACTCACAACAGCAGGTGGCAGGAATACTAAACTGGTACCAAACATGAAGGGAAATAGCAGAATAAGAAAAAACATGAAGAAAAAGGTAGGTCTATGGTAGCAGCAGGTTTACCAGGTAAGTGATACACATTTTCCTGTATCTATTATATACTTTAGCATTGCATAAAATATTTTCCTGTTATAAAATCTTGGAAATACTTGACAGTTGGTTCAATATTAGTGAATCAGTTGCTGCAGTTGACCAGAGGTGCCAATTTTCTAATGTGTCGGGGGGTGCTCCACCTGTTCCCCCAAAGCCCCACCCCACCCTGCCTCCTCCTACCCTCACTCTGCCCCCATCCCCCCGCTCCACCTCTTCTCACTTCGTTGTGCCCCCACCCTCACGCATGCCCTGCCCTCACTCCTCCTTAGGATGACCAGATAGCAAGTGTGAAAAATCTGGACAGAGTGTGGGGGGGTAATAGGCGCCTATATCAGAAAAAGCCCTGAATATTGGGACTGTCCGTATAAAATTGGGACATCTGGTCACTCTACTTCTCCCCCTCCCCTCCCAGCGCTTCCTGAGCTGATCATGGCAGGCGGGAGGCGCTGGGCAGCAGGGGGAGGCGCTGATTGGCATGGCTGCCAGAGGGTGGGAGGCGCTGCAGGGAGGGGAAGGAGCTGATTAGGGGTGCTGCCGCTGAGTGGGTGCTCCAGCCTCAGAGCATCCATGAAGCCAGTGCCTATGCAGTTCACCAATAACTGGTATGCAGTACCTGGAGAGCTGAACTCATGATAACTGTTGTGATCCATCTTGCCTTTTCCTGCCCACCATTTTCTGCCATTGTCACAGGGGTCATTAATACTTCTGCAATGAAATCTCTGGTAAAACTTTCCAAAAAACCTTAAAGAAAACTAGCAACAGAGAGAGAGAGAGAGAGAGAGAGAGAACAGAAATGTCAGCCACCAACTGAAGAGAACATAGCTGTAATAAAGGACACTCATTAATGGTGCTTGGTCAAGGCACCAAAGGTGCCTAAAGACCCCAACTGAAATCAGAGCCACAGTGCCTGGGCATTTTACAAACACAGGAGAAGAGATAGTTCCTGCTCTGAAGAGCTTAAGCTCTAAATCCACGAGGCAGACCATGGGTGGAAGAAAGAGCTACAAGCAGATTATTGGGAGCTGAAGCACAGAGAGATCAGCTGAGTTGCCCAAGGTCATGTATAAAGTCTGTGTCGGGGCCACCTGCCCAAAGATTTCACAATCCTTAGCTTTGAACTAATAATTTAAAAAAATATATATCATACTAGTGTATTACTGTTTTGGAGAAATGTTCTTACAAGTCATATAAATATTCTGTATCTGCCCAAGTGTGGTTGTTAATAAACACTGTAAATATTGTTCCCAAAGGAATCTGTTGCATCTATGGCAGTTTTCTTGTTACAACTGTCCTACCATTCAAATGGCTGAGGTGAGAAAGACTAAAGAGAACTCTGCTTTGGAACATGTCAGCAGTGTTTCTAACAATCCAGTTTCCTTCCAAAACCTATGGAGAGGTTCATTGACTTGGCAAAAGTCCCAGTGAAATGCTGGCAGAGCCTGGCTTAGAATTTAGGATTTCCTGATGTTTTATAAAATAATTACACAGCAGGGAGTGTAGCAGGGCTAAGTGTGCTTCCTTCACATGACAACAGGGAGTGAGACCATCATTAAATGATTCAGTGGATAATTTTTTCAAAAGTGCCTACATTAGTTAGGAACCGAAATCCCATTTTCAAAAGACAGTTTTGCCATTTGGGGCCATTTTCACATAGGTGCTTTTGAAGATGTTACCTCAGGTCTCCCTGTAGCACAGTGCAGCTTGCTAAGCTTCTGAGCTGACCCATCACCCTTCTCCTTGTTGTTCGCATTTGTATTTTTGAAAGGTATGTCTAGGTCTGGCCCATTTAATAGACCATGCCCTCTTCATCCAGGGTAAATTTATGTAGCTGGGAGGAGGCTGAGGGGCCTAGGCAGCCACATCAGAAAGCCCTGAATCCTCCAGCCTAGCGCTGCCATCAATCTGCTGTGATACTTTTGCCAGTTACTGAACTGCTTTGTGCCTCAGCTCCCACCTGTGAAAAGGGGATGAGGCTGTTGCTCTACCTCACAGGAGGGTTGTGAGGCCTGTTTTGTAAAGCTGTGTGTAAGCTCAACCCGGTCCCATGTGAGGACTGGTATTAGGCTACCTTTGGGGATGTTTCTACCTTTCCCAGTTAGAGGCCACCCTCAGGTCTTCTATTTTAAAGAACACAACAAGGCACAGACCACAGACCCCTGTGAGGCCTCCTAGCCACCCCTCCCCCCAACACTTTGCCTGTCAGAAGGCACTCGGAAGGCGGGACTTGGATGTCTAAGGCAGCTCGAGATTGGCTGGCACTCCATGTGCAGAGGCGTCAGATGAGTCGGTGCAGCATTACCACCACAGTGCTGTAGGCCCACTGTTTGAGCAAGAGCCAGCTCACAGGTCTGCCAAGGGGAGGCAGAGGAAGAAAGGGATTAACTGGAATTTTGAGCCTTCTAGCCCCTCAGGTTATGACCTAACTAATTCTGCCCTTTTGAAAGGCCTGGCTTCATGGCTGCTACTGAAGTGAGTGGAAATGTAGCAGGCAGAATTTGGGCCTGTGTTTGAGGGCTCTTCCTCCTTTTGGTACCACAGCCACTGGTCCCTGGACCAAGTCATGGAGTAACTTGAGACTTTCCTCTCAGGTGACATGCCCCAATTCAAACCCAACGTCTCTCTGGGATTCAGGAAGTTCAAAAGAAAAAGCAAATAAACTGCAATTATTTTATCACCAGGAAGATAATCTCTGCCTGTATGTGAAACGGGAAAATGGTGGAGCTCAAAAACACAACGGTTTCTCTGCGCTCTGTGTGGACTCTACTCCTGTCTCTTCTGTCAACATTGTTTTCTGATTGAGGGGCCTGGGGCCCTGGGTGAGGCACCACTGGAAATCCTGAGACTTTGGAAGCCACCCTAATAATTTCTCTATAAACCCAAGTCTCAGTCTGAAAGCCTGTGGCCATACAGGTATGAATACATGAGCTGCTTGAGAGATACGAAGAATTGCTGATTGCAGGCAGAGACATAGGGGAGCCCTCAACAATACAAAGCAATAAAATGGACAAAATGATGAAATTCAAAAATAATTTAAATTTTCTCCAGATCAGGGAAAAGAAAGAAAAAAATTACAACAACAAACCCCTGCTGTGATGGAATGTTCCAAATATTTTCTCTCTCTATGAGCCTTTAATGTTAAAGCATGAGGCAGCATCTTGTCTGCAGAGAGAAGCAGCCTGAGAATGCTGGTACATCCTTCATTGTGACTATAGGATGCATATCAGTGCTTTGCAGAGGGAGGAGCCAGAGGCCAATAAAAGTAGGAACTACAAACAAGTATTATTGGGCCCAGCCCCTGCCTTTGGATAATAAATGAATGTGTACACTCATATGTGTAAAGACACCAGTACATTTTTTACTGCAACATGGACTGCTCAGACTCGGTGCAGAATAATTTCAAATTTAATGAAAGGTGAACTGCACATTAAAAAAAATTAAAATAGCTCTGTGCTGAATAGGCCAGATGAAATAACCCAGCAAAGAGAGGCATTCAACACCTTAGCCGTTTCTCCCCTTCTATTCCTGGCAAATAAGCAGTCATCTTGGAGTGCCTGCTTCTTTCTGTTCAGTCAGATGCACCAGCTAATGTTGAAAGGGGCTGGAGCCTGCAGTCTGCCTTAGGGAGTAAGTCAAGTCCATAATTTTTTAATACTGAAGATTTTATTAAAATATTTTACTCCCTGTAGAATATAAAGTAAGGGAGAAAAAAATTAGACTTCCTACCCCTGTGCATGGAGGTAGGCTCCAGTGCTCTTTTGGCTGGGTATGATGGTACCAATAGAATGCTAGGCAATATCTTGTGACACACCCATGGACACTATACACTATCCATATATATATATATAGAGAGAGAGAGAGAGAGAGAGAGAGAGAGAGCCTGCATGTCTTTCCCCATCTTGATTGCTAAATATATATCTTAAGTGTGTTTATGGAATAATGAAGGGAACTTTATGACACAGATTGAGAATCTAGCTGGTCATTTATATATTGACATAGTGCTGGTTTAGACTTTGTGTGCACTTGTTCTGAAGTTAGTATAAATCTAAATAAAAGGCACCATTTAATTCAAGTACTGGTGCTATATTTAGGGTGCATAGCAGTGATTTTTTTTTTTTTGAAGTGAATCTGCCAAATTTGTAGCAAAATCTTCCCCTGAACTAAGATTTTGAAACTTGTCTAAACACAGATGTGCATTATATGAGTCATCACCTTTTGGGATGGGGAACCCTAACAGATCACAAGCTACAAATGTTAGCAGGGAAGTAGAGGAATAAAGATTAGCTGCTTACTTGTAACTTCCTTTGTTTGTGGTATATTGCTAGGAATGTTTGATATTTATTTCTCTTTGAATGTTGAAAATGATAGGTTTTGTTCTGGGTAGTTTTAGGCTGTCTTGAAGCCAGCAGGCACCAGGGTCTGGCTTTGTACACAATAATGAAATGTTTTTCCCTGAGATTCTAACATTTTATTACTATGGTAGAGGGTCTGGCTGTACTAAAATTATATCTAAACTATACTGAAGCTGCAATACACAGTAGGCTCACAATGCCCTATGAGAGGCAGCAAGGTGCAGCGGATAGGACGCTAGTTTGGAAATCAGTAGATCCCTATTCTAGTCCCAGTTCTACTAGTGGTTTGCTCTGTGAGCTTAGGCACATCACAACCTCTTTAACCTAGATCCACACATGGGGTTAGGCATTGCAATGCTGAGCAATGTGGCAACTAGAAAAATCATAGGAACAGCACTGCAATCCACAAAGCCTGAATTCGGCTCTACAATGAATGGGGTGAGATAGGAGCCTTAGGATGCAATCCACAACAGCCAACAAGCTAGGTGGGGAGCTGCCTAAACTAGCCAATAGAAGTTGCTGATAGCAGGGGTGTGGGCTAAGCCCCTCTCCTTTCACAGATTAGCACGGAAGTCCAAGCTGCAAGGAAGCACCTATCTCTACTTAGCAATCCAAGAATGGGAACCCCTCTCGGAGTCAGGAGGCTTAGACATCTAAACAGCTTCTTACAGGAATGAGATGGATGCCTGTCTCACTCCACCTAAAACTGCGACAGTGGTGGAAAAGGAGCTTTTAGCCCAGTGGTTGGAGCACTCACCTGGGATGTGGTAAACCCATGGTCAATTCCCCTTTCTGTATGTTGGTGGGACATCCACATGGGAGGTGGAAGACCCAGGGTCCAGTGCCCCTGCTCCAAGCATTCTTTCCTTATTTATCCAGAGTGCAATAACTTCAGCAGGAGAGATTGTGGGAAGCCCACGTCAGAATATCCCAGTGGTTAGTGCACTCAGATTCTCTTTTCCCTGCTCAGGGAGAGGGGGAAATTGGGTCTCTCACACAGGTGACTGCTCTAATCACTGAGCTAAAATGTGTACAGTAAACACCTTTTCTTCCTCTCCTCAGATTTTGAATGGGACCCAGTGTGGTTGGTGTGCTCAAAGGCCACCTACCAGAAGAGGTCCTACACATGAGATAGGTAAGTGAACGCCTATTTCCCCCCTGTTTGTGGACTGCTCTGGGGCTCAGGTGGGAGAAAGGTGTCTGAACACCTAGAGTGAGAGTAGAAAGCAAACCCAGAAGCAGAAACATAATCAGCTAGGGGACTTTTATCCTTAACATTTAGGAGCTGAGTAAATTTAGGCACCTATAGCGCTTGGCAGGAGTTTTGTGGATTGCAATGGAGCCTAAAACTGGGACTTAGGCACCAGCAGCTCCAGGCACCAGCACTCCAAGCGGGGGGCGCCCTGCCGGTCCTTGCGAGGGCAGCAGTCAGGCAGCCTTCGGCGGCTTGCCTGCAGGAGGTCCGCCGGTCCCGTGGCTTCAGCAGTGGGTACGCCGAAGCCGCGGAACCGGTGGACCTCCCGCAGGTATGCCACCGAATCCGCGGGACCGGGGACCTGCCGCAGGCATGCCGCCGAAGGCAGCCTGCCTGCCGTGCTTGGGGCGGCAAAAAAGCTAGCGCCGCCCCTGGACTTAGGTGCCTAAGTACCTTTGTGAATCCCACCCTTTATGTTCAGTTTCCCCATCTGGAAGAAGAGGATAATTACTTACCTTCTTTTGTTGAGTGCTTTGAGATCTCCAGCTGAAAAGCACTTAAGAACTCAGAGTTATTGCACCAGCTCAACTCTGGCTGGTTTTCCTCACTAACTTTACAGTAATAATTTTATTTCACCTTGCATTACTGCTGTGTATCAGAATCTCTCAACTTCAAGTGCCAGAAAGTTATAATGAAAAATTAATTACCTATACTACTGCGTGCTATGTTGCTGGACTTCAAATCTGAAACATAAAAATCAATGAAAAATACATTAGTAAATACACAGTATCACACTTCCATGTTCAATGAAGAATGGAAGGCTGTGCAAGAGTAGATTGAAATCTCTGGAGAGAAGTGGGACCAGGCTGTTTCATTAGAAAAAACAAACATCTATGATTTTGTTTTCAGGTTCTAAGCTCTGTAATGGCTGTAATTTAAAGTCTTTTTAGAAGTCTTGTATTTGCTAAAATTTAAAAGGGAAGGGGATAGAGAAGAGAACTTAGGCTTTTCTAGCCAGTATTTGTTATGCTCATACAAAGCAAACACAAAGGTTCAGGCTTGATTAAAAGCGTGGCTCTGCATGTTAGTGCTCATCTTGTTATGCTCATACAAAGCACACGGGATCTTTATAG